GATTGGACTCCTTCTCAGGAGGAAGCATTGCAATTGCTGATTTTTGAAGCAGCAGCTCATCGAGCACATGGCCCTATCCATCCCACAGATCCTTTCCAGGTGGAATGGGGATTTGCTGCCTCAGGATTGTCAGTACACACATGGCAGCGGGGTCCTGAGGGTCTGACAAGGCCTGTTGGTTTTTATTCCCGTGGTTTCAAAGATGCTGAGAAAAGATACGCTGCCTGGGAAAAAGGATTGTTTGTGGTTATCTTAGCTCTCATAGAAGTGGGGGAAATTGCACGACAACAACCAATTGTATTGAGAGGCCCTTTTAATGTTATTAAGACAGTCACTACTGGGACCCCCCGTCCTGATGGGGTGGCCCAGAGGGCCTCAGTTAGAAAGTGGTATGCTCGGATTGAACATTATTACAACATCTTCTCAATGACAGAAGGAGTGGTAAAAACTTTAGTGATCCAAGAAACTGAGAGCTTGGATAGCAGCCATGACAAAACTGCCTCTGTACTCAAAGCAGCCCCTTCTTTCTCCCCTGAACAATCAGTAAGTTCTTGGTTCACTGATGCCTCTGCTAAATGAGAAGGGAAGGTGTGGGGACACTGGGCAGCAGCCCCCCACATTTCCCCTGGTGAACCAGTTATTACTGAGGGAGAAAGCAGTGCTTGGGTGGGGGAGCTGAGAGCTGTCTGGGTGTTTTCCAACGTGAGGTACAGAATGCCTCTGTTGTCTCTATCTACACTGACTCCTACGCTGTGCACCAAATGATCCTAATAATCCAACACCATACCTTGGACAACCTGGTTCTGGTGGACCTCCCTTACTGTGGGGCTAGTACCACTTGTGCTAAAACCCCTTCTGAATAAATGTGTATGGGAAGCCTCTGGTGCTCTAGGGAAAGAGCATTGGATAAATACACCTGGGTAATTCCATCACTCTAACTTTTTCTGCCTCTCGCTGGCAGGATTCTGTTGTGTTTACTTTTACAGAAGAACTCCGAGGGACATGAAGACCACCTAATCCATGATAAAACTGGTGATACTTTTCTGCATCCTACCACAACCCCATGGCCAGAAACCAGCTGAGTGGTTGCGGTCTGAAATAATTGTGGTAGCATGCAGAAAAAGTGAAAGGATCTCTTTAAGTATTAAAAGGTTTGTACGCACCGAAGCGTACAGGATTGTTGGCACAATTTCACTTTAACACAAACTGTAGAAGTGGTTTGTCTTTGATCCAAAAATATTGAAGCGCTTTCTTTTAAGTTTAAAGTATTGATTTACATACTGGGGAGGACTTGATGTTAATGTTGTGACCCCTACCACCCAACCACTGGTTATGCTTAGCCCGAAAATTTTTGAAATTGGACCATATATAATCAGGAAAACAGGTCAACCACAAATACTGTTTAATCTGGCATGGTCTCTTAAACAAGTCAAATTGCTGATGCAAAATAATGTCTCAGAAATTCAGCCAGCTTGTTCACCTTTTTTGCAAACTTTTTTTCAGGGTTGGATGACCTGGTTGTGACAGTAGAACCCTTTTAAAAGAGACATAACCAGTGTTGTGGGAACAGGATTGGGAATCTTAAACAGTATTGATTCAGAAGTATTAATGAACAAATTGGCTACGACCACTAGAGATTTGACAAAATTACAACAACCACTACAGTCATCCTTATCAGCTTTGGGAACTCAACAGTGGTTGCTATCAAATATATTACCAGACTGGGAAAAGGTAAATGTAAATGATCACAAATTGGTAATTGATGCACTCGGTGCTACACAAAACAATGTCTCTTTGGCTCTCAGCTGTGTCCAGGCACACCTGTGGATGCAGTCAGTTGCTGCCTCAATTATAAGAGAAGGTGAAGAAGGCACTTTCCCTCCTGAAATTCAGAAAATAGTTTGAGGCAGTGCCACTGACTTTGAAAGAGATTTCCAATCCTGGTGGAATTTAGTGAATTTTACCTATGACCCTAGCACAAACACAGCCACAGCCTTTGTATTAACCATACAGAATGCTTCAGTGTACACAGTATTTCCTATCATTGCATTAGGGCTGAATCATGATGGAGCTGTCCTCTATCCTTTTGAGCATAGAGGATGGGCCCATCAAATTGGGGAAAATTGGCAAATTGTTAATTTAGAATCTTGTATTGTCTGGGAACAACAGGGATTTATTTATGAAAGTAATGCAATTATGGCCCAAGACATTTGTTTAGACACAGAACAGAATATTTGACACTTTGAAATTCATCCCAATGAGACTTCTGAAACAGTTCTTGTATATATTGGCAATGGTTGTGCATGTTTTAGAACAGCTTGTGATGTAGTACTTGTAGAAAATGTAGTGGTGAATACTAAAAATCATTCAAATTTTTGTGTTTGCAACTTTACTGTCAGCAATCCTATACATCGTGAATTGGAAAATGATGATCTATAATGAATGCACATAATTTGGTCAATACCCCATTTACTGTAGACACTCCCAGGGTTATTGACAGAAGGTGAATTACTTGAGCATTAAAATAGGCAATTGGCCCTTGTGATAAGATTTTTGATTGTGCTGTAGTTTTTTAAATCAAAATTGATTATTTGTTTTTAATAAGAAATTGAATGTATATTTTTAATTGGAGAATTGATTCTTTGTTTTTCTTTTTCCTTATTTCTTTCCCTTATCTTTTCCCTACTTTTCTTTTTTCTGTCTAATTTTCTGTCTCTGTTTTCTGGAATATGCTACTACCACCTTGACAAGTCCTGAAGACTTCAGAACAGCGTCACGGATGGAGCTCTCCCTTACCACGATCGTTAGTCACGGGGTGGTGTGAGAGATGGTCCGAAGTTTCCTTCATTTGCCTCACAACCATTGCAAGGACCCTGAAGACCCTGATAGGAGTTATGGCCTGGCCAAGGTGGATGTGGACACTTGCCAAGTGACTGTTTGCAGGTGCACTCGCTGTGCTTCTACAGAATTCGAACAGAACAGGGTGTGACAAGCGGTGGCTTGTACCTGTCCCTGTATGCCCGCACCTGCTTCACAGACCAACGGGCTCCACACAATGGCCCATCAATCTTGCCCACCTTCTGGCCAGATGCCACTCGCTTTGGCTAAGGATTATATAAACTGTAACTTTTTGGGAAGACTTTGGTGCACCCCCACAGATGACGGCGAATCTTTGTGGCTGGACCATTGAGGATCTCGTCTCGACGGTGTAGCTATTCCCCTTTCCCTCTTTTCTCTCTATTCTTTATTTCCCTTTTCTGTCCCATCTATTGCATTTGCTGTCGGTACCTAAATAAAAGTACATTTGTTGTGATTAAACAGATAGTCCCCTGCCTTTTGCCTTTTTGCTCTTTTGGGATCAGTTAATGAACCACCATGACACCCTGCACGAGCAGATCGTGACAGTCACAAACACCATTCTGGCTCAGCCTAGGTGTTACAAACAACTCAAAAGCCAAGTGGGAATGAGTTATAAAAGTTTTATTGATAACAAATAAAAATTTCACAAAATAAATGCAACAGTGTTAGGAGCATGGCCGACCACCAGAGGCTCATCCACAAAATGGCAGCTCTGCCTTTCACACCCCTGCTGTTGCATCAGCCAAATACATATTCAAACATTTTCCTTATATATCCCTGGCCCCTCCGAAAGTCTGCCAGTCAACTCTTCTTTGCTGTGCATTGCTGGAGACCTTCTTGCAACTGGACTGGAGGTGAGGTGTTGTCACAGCTGGCTGTGTCCCCAGCGCAGGGCACACAGCCAGGACACGGCGCTGCCGCCGTTCTGCCCCGGCTGTCCCGGGGGCTCATCCTGGAGAGGAGGAGCTGATGGGGGGACGGGGACACCTTCTCACTCCTCTGTGCCAGGAGGGTGCACAAGCGGGGCTGGCGCTGCTCACAGAGAACAAGGGACAGTGCTGGAGCTCACCCCTAGGTCGGGGGTGGCTCCATGTGGTGGAAAAGTCTCTCCTCCAACCCATGCTTTCAAAGAAAGACTCAGACTTCAGTCATCCAGTCTCAAGGCAGTTTATTGCAAGTTATCTAAAAGATTTTCTTCTGGGGCTGCTGTGGCTTGCTCACAGCTCAGGCAGAGGCACACACACACCCTGACATCCTCTCTAACTCCCGACTGCTTCTTCTCTCCCCACCCAGGGCTGCTGCTGTCTTTTATATGGTACATTACGTGTTACATGGGTACAGTTTGTCCCCAATGCCTATTGCCTATATTAAATGGTGCTTTTCTACTCTAAACCAATCTGTGAGTGCCAACATCACCAAGAACATGGAGGCAAAGAAGGAGAAAGAGGGAGGACAGGGCAGGCCCAGATCCCTCCATCTTAAAACCTCTGACCCCCATGTACAAAACCAAAACCCCCCTGTACAGCACTCAAAAATTCTTCCCTTTGCTTTGTAACTACTTCTACTATAATATCTAAACTTTTGTGACTTCTTGTTCTTCCTAAAAGGTTGGTAAATCGTTCAAATCGAAAATCACAGCTGTTTCCAGCTGCCTGCCAGGGTCTCAAATGCTTCTGACCTGGACCCAGAACATCCAAAAATATCTGAGGGACATTTTGAGTACCCAAGACAAGAAGACACAATGTTAAGTGTGCCACACGAGCTTTAGCTTAGACACTAGGAAGAATCACCCTGAAAGGGTGATGCGATAATAGAATGGGCTGCCCGTGCGTGTGGTGGATTCGCAGTGGCGGGAAGTGTTTAAGGAAAACGTGGACATAGAACTCAGTGCTCTGGTCTGGTTGCCACTGTGGCGATCTGTCGCAGGCGGACTCGCTGATCTCAGCGAGTTTAGCGAGTTTAAACTCTTCCCCCAGCTTATGGCGCCATTCCGTGCCTCGCTGTCCGGCCCGCCGCACGCTTCGCTTCCCGCGGGGTTTGGCCGCGGCGCGCCGCCGTAGCGCGGTGCTGGGCGCGGTGGTGGCGGCGGTGGCGGCGATGTCGTTCCGCGACCTCCGCAGTGAGCGGGGCCGGGCCGGGCCGGGCCGGGACAGCGGGACATGCAGGGCATGCAGGGCTCGGCCCGCCGCTCCCTGCAGGGCTCAGCCCGCCGCTCCCTGCCGGGGAGGCGTCCCCGCTGCCGGGGGTGGCACAGCCCCGCCCGTAGCGAGCGCAGTGAAGGCTGTGTCTGCACGGACAGGCTGTGTCCGCGTCCTTTCACCTCAGGGAATCTCCTTAAAAACGCCTGTTTTCACTTTGGCGTGTTTTCTGTTGAAATGATATGATTTATGTTAATTATTAAAAATACTTAATTATTTTTAAGAGTGCTTTGCACTGGGTGTAGCTCATGGTAACTAAGCAGCGCTGTGTGGGAGATGGCACTCTTGGCAAATCCCTTATTGGATGTAAAAGAAGAAATCCCTGCTCTTCCTCATTTTTCAGATTTTACTGAGATGATGAGGGCGCTGGGGTATCCTCGACTCATATCCATGGAGAATTTCCACACCCCAAACTTCATGCTTGTGTCAGAAGTGCTGCTGTGGCTGGTCAAAAGGTTGGTGGTGAGGCCAGCAAAACTCAGGCTGATGCTGCGATGCGGGGAGTGTGCTTGGGAGCTGATGGTGTGCTGTGAAATTAGGGAATTACGTGATATTTAATCATTCTTTGAGCTCTGCTCTTCTAAATACCAGACAGAAAAGTGGTAGTTTGTAGGTTTCTAGCTTAATGACAGAGCCTGGAGTAGCAAACCCAGTGACTGGCAGAGTTTGCTGTGGGCACACTCATTCAAAATTAGCCTTATCTCTCTCACATACTCTCCAAATTTCACAGCCGTCCTGTCTGTGTCTGACCTTTTATCCAAACAGGGTGATCTGTTGTGGGAGCTTCACCAAAACCCAGCCAGCTCTTGCCTTGTTGCTACAGCCTGGTATTGTCCTGCATCCACAACAGGTTTAAAAGAAGTTAAATGGTTTGGTTCTAACCTACTACTGTCCAGTTGCAGTTTTACACCCATTTAACCCATTGACAGACTTCGGTTAAATATTTCTGGATCTTGAAGTGTTATTTGAATTATACATTAGCTCCTCTCTCTTGCTTAAGTGTAAAATTAAGAGGTTCTTTATAAGGTAGAACATTGTAATTGAAACCAACATTGACCAGTTTTCCTGATTGCTGTTTTTTGACCTGGATTAATAATTATTAGTTAATAATCCATTCAGTTTAATTACCAAGTCGTCAGGAATTTGCTGAATACTCTTGCAGTTGTAATGAAATAGGGATATACTCACAACCATTCAAAATTATTTGGATTAAGTTGGCTAAATAGTCTTTAAAATGCTGCTGTTACACTGAGGGTCTGAATCACTGAATTTCCTTTTATTCTTCCCTGGTTCCTTCAGACTGGCCACTTCTAGAAGTTTCTGCATCTCACTGATGGTTTTTTTTAAGCATTTCACAGATTTTAGTTTGTTTTTCCATAAGTTTCCCTTACTTGTGAAAGGAGAATGTTTGAAATGATGTCTGGCTATGAACTTGTGCAGTGTGTCAGGTTTTCCAGCTCCTGCACTTAGTACAAATCCTTTGCATGCATTCCAGGCTCTGCATTCCCCACTCTGCAGTAGGAATTTATTTACACATTTATTCACCGGTCTCGTCTGTGCTTTATGTTTGATTTTTGCCTCACAGATGAAGCACGCTCTTTAATGTTGCCAGAACCTTGGCAACATCTCCAGTTGTTGTTTGCACAGGTATGAACCTCAGAGTGACATTCCTGGGGATGTGGAGACAGAGCAGGACCGGGTTTTCTTCATTAAGGCCGTGGCTCAGTTCATGGTGAGTGTGCCCAGGAGCTGTGCTTGGGCTGAAACCCTGAAAATCAGAAACCCTGAAAATCCAAAATCCTGGTTCCATGGCAGCTTTAGAGCTTTCACTCTTAACCCCACAGAGCTTCCCTGCAAGGGGTGGCTGAGTTTTTGTTGCATTCTGGTGCTGCTTTATCCCTGCCAGTGTCCAAGGCCAGGCTGGACAGGACTTGGAGCAGCCTGGGACAGTGGCAGCTGTCCCTGCCCGTGGCAGAGCTGGAACTGGATGAGTTTTAAGGTCTCTTCCAACCCAAACCACTCTATGATTCTGTGATCCTGTGTCCTGTGCTGCTGGAAATTGGAAGAGGCCAGGGCATGCTGTTACTGACATTCTGTACTTCTCTCTGCAGAAATGGAATCTAAATATAATATTGGGATCTAAATAGAATATTGGGATCTAAATTGGGATCTAAACCAATATTCATCCTTATCTCTCCTAATTTTTAAAAGGTGGCAGTGGAAGACACAGCTGTAGATGGGGAATGTTTTAAACCGTTTAAATTGTTTTAGAAGAGATCCCACCTTGGTTATTGCTAACTTTGGATGCCTGATTCTTTTCTGTGCTTGAAATGTCATAATTTCTGGCATTTTCATTATGATATAGAATCATATATTGGTTGTATAAGATTTCCCATAGATCAAGGCATGTGGTTTTTCTAAGATCATTTTTTTAATGCATGAACATGGTCATCAAATTTTTTAGTCTTTTAGAGTAAAATAACATTGTCCTTCATAAAATTCATGTTATTTGGAAGCAGTGTGAGCTTTTGATGTTATTGCACACTTAGATGAACACTCTTCATTGTGTGAAGATAATTTTCTGGAGGTGCAGGGGGATCTGGAAGCAATGGAAGTTTTTATCCTTATACCAAAGATTTTTTGAAAAATCTTAAAATGTATTCAAATGTCATTTTAACAATATTTCCCTTGTCATTGGTGAACAGTGTGCACCATAAATTCTCTTAATTCTTAATTTTGCCATGTTCAGAGCAGGATACATTCCTGTACGTATTAGAAAGTACTTTTGAGCCTTGGAGCATCACGAGATGCAGTGAACAGGTCTGTTCTGTTTGGAAGGGTTTCCCCCTCCAAGCACAAGTCTGGAAGCAGAAATAATGTCACCCTTTTCAATAGCTGATTTCATGTCAGAAATCTCAAGGGTTTTTGAGAATTACGTAATATGATTCAGAAAATGAAATTAATGGAAATTACATTAGTCATCCTGTACTTAGTCTCAGTTAATATTACAAATTAGAGTGGGGATTATTGTAGGTTTTCAGCATTTTCAAGATGAGAGAAGCTTGTAGACATTTCCTTAATAATTCACTGTCCATGCAATCCACAATTATCTTTCACAGGAGTTAATGGCTTTGTGCACCCGTGGGCAGATGGGAGATGTGATGGAGACAGAATTGTCTCAGAAGAGAATGTCAGGACAGATCCATCACCAGGGAATGTAGCTGGAGCTCTGCTCTGCTTTACTGAACAAGGAGTGAGGAGGTGTTAATTTTCCACACAAACTGGCTACTGCTCTGTGTTCCTGGCAGTTTGAGAACTTAGCAAAGACCTCCTTCCCACACCCAAAAGTTCTGAAGTTCCTGCAAGGTTGTCTTAGGTGGGTTTTTAATCAATTTCCCCCCCTAGAGCTGCCCTGATCAGTGGGACTCAGTACCTGGCTCCTGCTTAAGCCCACTTGGATCCAAATTTGAAGTAGAGTGCAACAAAAAGCCTCCAATGAGTTAATCTCATAAAAATTCATTCATGAAAACAAACTCAGCCACCCAAGGGCACAAAACCTTTTGCAAGAGTCAGACATCACAGAAAATTTGGCTTCATGATACTGATACAGCAGATTGTGAAGTTAAGCAAATTTTCTGCCTGTTTCTGCCACTCTTGCTGTATATTTATATTTTTTGTTGCATTTTAACCATCTGATCTTCAGAATAAATAGCTGTGGTTTTTAATAGTTGTGTAGAACTAGAAATGTTATAGAATAAAACAACAAATCAAATAGGTGTTTCAAAGATGAAGTGATGGAGGTGACTTTCCAAACATGAAGTTATCTTCTTGACTTCACAGTGCTGTTGTGCCAGTCTGAAAAAGATATATGTTTGTCTGTGTATTTTTTCTCTTTTTAAGTAGCCTTTGAATGAAAAACCGTTTTTTTCCTCTTACTAGACATTGATTTTACTCTCTTGAGGGTGAATGAAGCTGAAATTGGAACTGCTGTCTCTAACAACATCCTTTATAATTTAGTGCATCAGTCCCCTTTGGACAGGGGATGTTTAACAGAGTCTGTCAATTTAATGACCACTTCTCATATAATAGAACACTTGCTGTTTCTGCAATTAATTTTTTAGATTGCTTCTACTGCAAGGGAAGAGAGGTGAACATACCTGGCTTTTCACTTTGTGTCTTGGCTACTTTGAGGTCATTCTGAGACCAACATTTCAAAAGCAATTAGGGATTTTTTGTACTGTGAGTCTCTTATTCCCCTGGCTGAGGTGCACAACATCAGAAGCCTGTTCTGGAAGTTTGGGCTTCAATTTTCAGGAATCACAGAAGATCCTGAGTTGGGACCTTGAGCTCTGGCTGTGCCCATTCCCTGGGAGCCTGTTCAGTGCCCCACCACCCTCTGGGGGAAGGAGCTTTTCCTGAGATCCAGCCTGATCCTCTCCTAACACAACTCCAGCCATTCCCTGGGCCCTGTCTCTGCAAACAGATACAAGGAGTCATTTTCCTCTGCTGGGTTGAGATTTTAGGATGAGAGAAACAAGAGGAAAATATTTATTAAGAATTAAGATCTGATTTTAAAGTCACAAAGTCTTGACAAAATACACTGGAATAAGCATGGGCCAACATCCATTTGCTTTGTTTCTTTGGAACAGTTGGAGCCAAATCATTGGTTTGTAGTTTGGTGCTTTCTCTCTTCTGTTTCACAGGATTTTTTCCTTCAGTCCATTATTCAGTGAAGCTCAGTGCAGAGCTTATAATTCTATTGTACCAAATATTGTAATGTCTTCCCCCAGCTTGAAGATCCTGCTCTGTCAAAGCCTGAGGGAATGTAAATTCCTTCCAGGAGCACTGTAAAACCAAAGCTGTGTAATATCACCGGTGATTTATGGATAGGCTCTATCTGCTACATTCCCAAAGGAGAAACATTTCAGCAGAAGTTTCATCATAAAATATACTGAAAAGAGGTTGTTAAGTCACTTTTGTGCTTCATGTGTCATTTTTAAGCTTAGTTTTTGGACCCATAGCTGATTAATTTTTTTTTTTTTTTTTTTTTTTTTTCTTACTTGTCCAGTTATGCCACCACAGATTCCCTCAAAGTTTAATCTGAAATTTGTGGTTGGCTCCTTGTGGCTATTAATTTATAATACAAACTTTCTAGGAATTTCAAGAACAACATTTATGTCCTGTCTGTGACAGATAGTAATTTTCTCCCTTTATTATTTTGAAGCACAAAAAGATAATATTAGAATTTTTAGTATTTTTTCCTTATAGTTCTCCCTGTACATTTCAGAGATGGAGGGCAAAGGAATAAAATCACTAATATCAAAGCAGGGAAAAAATTGAGAGAAACAATAAAACTTTTGGAAGGTGCTGCTGGAAGAGAAGACAGTTAAATTAGGATAACTGATCTCATCCTTGCAACTCATTAGGGGTGAAATTTACCTCTCTGCAGCATCATCACAAGACCTGGGCAGCACTTACTTTCCACTTAAACTTAATTTGAATTTAAATGGTGCATAGGGTTTTTGCTGATCTTTATTCAGGGAAGAAATGATGATAGTTTGAGGGGTTTTCTGCAAATGTTCTGACATGCAGAAAGCACACAGCTTTCAGAAAAATTTCTTCTAGAAATACCAATATTACGAGGAGGCAAACTGTCCAAACAGGAAGAGTTATTCTGTACAGCAGAGCCTGGTGTCCCCAAAAAGAGCTTTGAGAGCAGACAACTGAGGATTTTGTTCTTTGTGACTGCTGAATTGTTTCTTTCTCGCCCAAGGCCACCAAGGCTCACATCAAGCTGAACACCAAGAAGCTGTACCAGGCCGATGGGCACGCGGTGAAGGAGCTGCTCAAGGTCACCTCGGTGCTCTACGGGGCCATGAACACCCAGGGAGGGGAGCGTGCACAGTTCCCCGAGGAGGACAGCACCAAGTTCAAGTTTGATCTGGGCTCAAAAGTAAGCAAAACTGCCACTCTTGTGTTCACTTGGCAAAACTCATCTGTTTTCTAGCTGGCATTTAAGTGGAGAATGTTCTGGCGAGGCAGTAGGCATAGTTTTAAGTCAGACTTTCAGCAGGTGGGGTTATGTGACTCTGTGATAAGTTTTAATCTCTGAATTCTCAATCAGAAGCATAATAGAAGGCAACAGTGGCACAAAACTGGTTCTCTTTGTATTAAAATCCTGTTGTCACCATAGAAATATTGGCTGGAATAAAGATTATTTTCTACTTATTAAACTTCTGCAACAGGAGGAGTTTGCAAAATACTGACTGAAAGTTGTTTTTCAGCCCATTTGCATTGAAAGAAGGGGAGATCTTCCTGTGACCCTAACAGACATCAAAGTTGTTCAAGCCCTTAAAATAAAAACCATCTCTTGATATTGTAAAAGCACTAAATATTTTTTGTAAAAGCAATAAATATCCTCTAAATATTAAAAAAAACCAACAAAACAAAAAAACAACCCAGCACTTCGCTAAATAAGAGGAATTTCTGTTACTACTTCTGTGGAAGATGTCCCTGCCCATGGCAGGAGTGGGACTGGATGAGCTTTAGGGTCTCTTCCCATACAAACCATTGTATGATTCTTTGTTCCTGTGATTCTTGAGAAAATGGCAGACCCACAGACCCAGAAGTGATTCTCCTCTCTGTAAGTCTGATGTGTCTCTCTGAAAAAATAACAAAAAAACACTTGGTAGATGCTCAAAAGTTCATTACTTCCATTGCAGGCTGGTCCCATTCCTCTTGGTATATGAAGTTTTTACTTCTGCTTATGAAAAAGGTGGTATTTCCCTTTGTCCTGGCAGCATAGGAACCAACAACTGGCTGAGCCACAGTTCTGAGGAGATTTGTGGGGGTTTTTATCTTGGCCTAAAATATTTGGGGTTTCACTCAGAAACCTGTACCTGATGGAGCCTCACTGGACTGTTTCAAAGCCAAGAGAGGCTCTGTCGACTCTGATTCTGGTGTACAACCTCTGGCAGAGTTTAGACCTCCAGTGCAATTTTGACATCAGAAAGAGAAATACCATGGATATTCTTTGTGAGGTTGGGGATTCTCCTGCTATTCACTGCTGTTGCTGTGTTCCCAGATTGCTGACTTGAAGGCAGCTAGACAGCTTGCTTCTGAAATCACCTCCAAAGGAGCAGTCCTGTATGACTTACTTGGCAAAGAGGTGGAACTGAGGGTGAGTACACACTGGAGAGTAGAGAAAGACTTGTGGTCACTGGGTGCCTCAATGAAAAAGGGGAAAAAAGTCTCAGTTCTTATTAATGTCTGCATCTGACATTAAGATTCTATGAGTTTGAAGGAATGGGCCTGACATTTTGCATTTCCTTCCTACTCCTGTTCATGGCTGGACTTGAGAGAGCAGGCAGCTTGAGAGAAGAGTTTGGCATTTTCTCTTCAGCAGAAAACTGAAACACTCTCTGTTTGGAAATACATGTGCAGGCTGTAGTGCTGGGGATGGATATTCTAGCAGATAAATGATGAGTGCTGTTAGTTTTCCAAGGGCAAGGCTCATTATTTCTGTGGCAGGACTGGAGGCATCACAGTCTGCAGGGTACATGTTCTTCAGCTTAGGTGGAGAAGGAAAATGAAAAGCTGTTGTGTGAAGTCAGTGCACACTGCCAGGAAGTCTTGCCATTATTTTCTTCAGTGCCTTTATCTGCAATGCTGGATGTTCTTCATTTTCTGAAAAGGGACTTCAAAGGAGGGAGACCCTGCATGGTGTTGGAATATCAGATGTCTGAGCTGTAGGGAGTGCACCCTCTAGAGCTGTAAACTCTGAGCCTCCACAATTAATGCACTCAGGTGCTTGTTTGATGGAGTACAGGTGTTTCAAAGGGTGGCTGATACCTCCATGGAACACTGCCTTTGCTGCTGGATCCATACATCACTGTGGTGTGCAGGATGTTAATATTTCAAAAGAGAGGGAGAAGTGATAATCCAGTTCAACTCAACATGCACCAGTATCACAGAACTGTTAATCAGTTACTTCTCCTCTTACATTCTGCCTAATTTATTGGCTTTGAAGGAGTTTTCACACAGCTGCTGTGTGATGTTTTAATATTTGCTTTAGTGGAGCATTGGACATTTTTGCTGTGAGTACAGCATCCCTGTACTCTGCTAAAAGTCAAATATAGTTCAGTTTAGGATTTTTTAAAAGTACTCAAGCATTGGTTTGAATTGGGTGTTGTTTAGTCACTTGAAATCAAGGCTTTGAGGACACTGAGTTTAGAACTGGGCCCTGGAATAGGGCCAAGCACAAGTGGAGTGTGCTGAAAGCAAGAGCTGAAAGATGAAGAGAGGAGAAAGTGCTTCAGCACAGCCACTTCTCAGTGGGGCCATTAAGAACTCTGGAGTGGGAGCCTGCTTGGAGGTGCCATTTCTGAAAGGACTGGATTTCTTAGAGAGAGCAGTGAGCACCTGTTCCTTGTGGCTGAGCACACAAGGTGGGGCCAGCTAATCCTGCCCAGGTGCACAGGTTGTGTTTTGCAAAAAGGTTTGGCAGATGGAACTTGTTGTCTTTAGGAAATGCTGTCCTGGGAAAGGTGACCTTCTGTGCTCTGAGTGCATTGCCTAAAGGCAGCAGGTGACAGTGACAGCACAGGGAGAGCCTCAGAGAGCTGCAGAAGATGCTCTTGGGCTCTGTTCCTTATGATTTGGGGCTGGTTGCAAGGTTTTTCAGTGTTTTGTTAAACCTGAAGGACCTATTTTTGACTGGTGTGTTAAATGTCAAGTTTGGTACATGCAACAAACTTGAGACTTGAGCGTGTAGCAAAGTAAACAGGTTTCAGGCTAGAAGTCAGGAGGTTGCAGGAACCAGTTTGGCAGTGGAATTCGTAATTTTTAATTATCAGTCCCCAGATCTGCCTTTCACCTGAAGTATGAAATTTGCCCATCCCAGGAGAGGCCCAGAGCCAAACGCTGCTGGGTTTTTCCATCACTTTTGGGTCTGGGCTGCTTCTCAGTGCTGAGGGCAGTCAGGAATTGCCCTTCCTCATCTGCCACATCCTCCCTGGGTCCTTCACAGGGAGGTGCTCAGGAGACCTCGGCAGTGGCATCCTCTGCCTGCCCTTCCCACCCCACTCCCGGTGGGGAAGAATTGAAGTTCATTCTGGCTTTGGGTGGGGAGTAGAGTTTTACTGGTGGACACCAAATTAGTTGCCATTAAATCAAAATTACTTTTACTGCTTTTTAATGTGCAGATTATTGATTTCCAGTGGTTATTTTCTTCTGGCAGTGCCTGGCTAATTAATGTTCACACTAAGTGGCACTGCCAGAAGGTTTGTGCTGTTGAAGGGCAGGGGAGCAGTGTAGCAGTGTGGTTTAGTTTCTTATTCCATTTTATCTCCTGAAACCTGTTGCATCAACAGCTGTCACAGTGTTTAAAGGAATTTGAAACCATGGGAGTTTTATGTTCCCTGAACCTCTTTTCTCTTTCTTTTCCAATCCATTCATTTCCAAATATTTAAATAAAAGCTCTTCCTACCTCAGCTTCAACAGGCTGATGATAAATCTTATTTCTATCCTAACTGAAGATGGCTTCATTTTCCAGGAACCATAAAGGAAATGCCAGCATTTGGCACTAAAAAAAACTTGATCTGTTTTCATAGAAAAAACTTGAACTTGTTTTCATAGACTGAGCAGCTTTTGGGGAAGGATCATTGGGGAAAAGTGAAGTAAAACTCATTATTTCATTTGGAGATGTCGACTCTAATTTGCTCCACAACTTTTACCCTCTTTGTTGGAGTAATTTGTACATAATTTGTATAGAAACTGTGTAGAAAAACTTAATACATTAGATAAATTTCATTGCTCCAAGTTGTGAAACACTTTTTTAAATAAATTACTTTCTGAATGAAAACAAGTATCAGCTAGAGAAGAATTTAGGGGAATGGTTCTGATAGATTTATTGGAGGTAGAGAGTGCTGTAAATGTATGTACATATTTTTGGGGAAGAGTTGTGGTCTGATTTCTTGGAGATGTGGTTCTGTGCCTTTCTGAAGCCTTTGTAACTACCTTATTCCCTGACTGAATATACAGTTCTCCTGTATATTTAAACTACTTCCCAAGTTAATCTGTAATGCTAAAAAAGAATTTTTCATTAACAATAGAGGAAGAAGCAAAACCTACAGGGTTTGCTGAATTCAGACTATGGTGTTGTTAAGTTGTGTGGGATAAAAAATCCCAAACAGCCCCCAAAGCTGGATTGTCAGATGAAAACCCCAAATATAATTACTGAGTTCTGTGGAAGCTGTGTTGTTTCTAGCCCAGCTGTGGATGAGTACAGTGCAGGTTGTTGGTGTCCTGTGGCAGTGCTGGAGACATAGAACTTTTATTTAAAAACACATTTAAGCATTATATTTGGAAGGTAATTTGCAGCTTCCAGTCTTGCTGGTCAAATCCTGGAGCACAGGAATTGCAGCTGGGATTTGTAGAATTTACTGGAGCTGATGAATGAGTTTGGTAACACACAATGAGATCCCTAAATGAAAAGCCAATTCCATGCAAATTCCATGCATGGAGAAATACATCTTCATCTTTATTGTTTCCTTTCCTCCCAGGGGCACTTTCTCTGCATTTCATTGCTATGTGATTTGAATTTTCAGAATATTTAGCTTTAGAAGAGTAAGCAAGCATGTTGAGATTTTTGCATGGGGAAGATGGGGTTGATTTGGATTTGAGATAGGGATGAGAGATTTTGTTTGGATTTATTTCTCTGTCTTCCTACACGGTACTAAATGAATGGAGGAAAGAAGCTGTTGAAAATACCAGTCTGTGATTAAGGCTGTCAAACCCCAAATCAAGAAAAGTAGCAAGGAAATTAATGTCAGCACTCAGACAAAATGCAGCACTGCTTCCCTATGCACTCACTTTTCTGGGATCTGCACAGCTGCCATTCTGTACATGGAAAAAGATGTTGGAAAAGCCAGTGGTGCTCTGTATCCTAAAAACATGGCAAGGTGGGGGAAATGGCCAGATTGACCTTTGGGGGAAGGGAGGGGTGATGAGCTGGTCCAAATCATTCTTCAGCTCAAAATAAAGCAGCAATGAGACTTTCACAGGCAGTTGTCCCCAGCTGAGGAATGGTTCTCTTGAATTGTCCTACAGTGGAAATCCAAAAGAAAAAATTCCTGGCTGTTTATAACTCTTGAGTGCCTCCCACTCTGCTTCTGCCAGAGGTCCTGGGCCACACTAGCAGGAGCTTGTCAGGAAGCTGCCCTGCTCAGACTTGCTGAATTATTGGTCATGGGAAGATAATGGAGCAAAAAGAAATTCCAAAAGAAAACTGTCCCTGTGCTGCTGGCAGGCAGAAAGATTTCTGACCTTCTCAGGCTTGTTTTCATTTTATTTACCTCTTAATTAGCTGGAAGCCCTGTAAAACAGAAGAAAAATGAAAATAATATTTTCTTTCAAGGCTTTTAGCTTGTGCTGAAGATGGACAGTGCGGTGGATTTGTGTTCTAATGCTCCTCTTGGCACTTATCCCATCTGTGCCCTTGAACAAAGTGTTTATTCTCTGTATCCACTCCTGTAAATAAAGGAATTGCTGAATTTGGTAGATTAAAGCTTTTAACAGCCAGGTGAACTGTTTGTCACTCTGTGGAGGATAAATTCTGGGCACTGCTCCCTGTTATTGTTATGGATGCCTACAGCACCAGCTTCTTCCCAAAGTGATGGGATGCACTGAGAATCCTGTTAGCAGCTCAGCTGGGAAAGGCTGGAGTTAAACTCTTCAGAGAGCCAAAGGCATTTAGACCCAGCTATGGAACTGAGGCAGTGTTAGCTCAGCACCAAGCCTTGCCACTAAGGACATTTCATTTGGTTCTCTTTATTCTCAGCTTTTGTATTAAAGAGCCTTTCCTCCCTTCCTCCCCCCTCCCACCACTGCTGCTGGGGGGAGAGTGAGATGTGATTTCAGAGATGGCTGCATCATTCCCTGCTCTTTGGAACTTAACTGCAAAAAAATCATTTTATTTTGAATGTTGGAAGCATTTTTCCGCCTGCCAAATGTTCCTTCTGTTCCCATTGCCCGAGGGAGGCTGATAAATTAATTTCTCTCATTTCCTGGGCCTTGGTTACAGAACTGCCACACATAGAACTTCTAGTGGAAATTTGTAACTTGCAATTGCCACAACTCTGGAGAATTACTTGGTTTGCTTCAGTTTTTTTAAACAGTCCTGCTTCTAACCCAAGCTTAACCTCTCACTTTGAGGAAGAGGGCTAATTGCAAATTGGGAAGCCAAAATTAACCTTGAATCAATATAAGATAGCTTTAACCAGAACTGCAGTTGTGTGTATGTATTTAAGTCAGAAATCATTTTGTATGACCTTCCCAGGAGTATTTAGCTTGAAAAAAAATGGCATCAGCTGTAAAATAGTGGTTGGCACATTCCTCCTGGCATTTTGGGGACCAGTTATGTCCAGTGGAAGGTGTGCCTGCCCATGGCAGGGAGCTGGAATCAGGTGAGCTTTCAGGTCTCTTCCAACCCTGCCCTTTGTTCCTTTGTAAACCAACCAGCAATGCCCATGCAAGGCCATTTCTAGCTGATTATATTTGGAATTTCACTCACAGGCTTAGCTTCTGCTCTGGAGCAAGCAGCTCCTTGTCATCTTCCCACAGTCTGGAGGAGACAGCCCAGGCCACCTCCTGGCCAAGGAGCCATGAAGTGACCCCCTGTAGTCCTGAGGACTGATCCAAGCTTTACCAATGCAGTCTGTCCCTAAACCTTGCACAGAGTAAATGAAAGGTGAGGATTCTGAGGGTGTGGAAGGATCACAGGAGGCACATCCTGGAGTTTGTCAGCTGAGGGTGAATCGGTGGCAGCAACTCAGAGCCAGAAGTTGGATGGACCTGAGTGAGGGAGGGAACAGAGCAGTGTAAATTCATCCCTGTCAGAAAGCTTTAAAGTTCCCTTTCCTGCCTCAGCAGAACCACATGCAGGTTACTTCTGATTCTTTCTGATCCATTGAAAAAATTACATTTTCCACTTGCTTCTCTCTCCCAGACCTCCTTGTGACATGGGTTTTACATGCTGGGATAGCTGAGGGTTTGGGGCACTGATTGAGGCTCTGCATTGCTGATTAGGGCAATGTCTTTGTGGACACCCTTTGCAAACTGCTGAGATGAGCTGGAAACCAAGCAGGATCATTTGGAAGCAGCAAAATTCTCATTTGCCATGACTTTAATGTCTCGAGGCAGCAGATGGCTGTTGGGAAGGGTCAGATTCCTTCAGAGGGATGAATGTCCCTCATGAGCCTCCCTGTTGTGATATCCCAGTGCCAAATCATCCATCCCCTGGATTGGGCAATTGTGATCCTAGCATGGGTGAGTGAACTCCCTGAGCAACAAACTCCTGCAGGAGAGCTTTGTGGCCTGCATGGACAGCTGGAATTGCCAAGGCCCTGTTTGCAGGGAGCAGGAGATGTGGGGCTGCCTGGATTGAGGTTGAAGTGGCACTGAGGAATGCACAAATTTTTGTGTGCATCAGGTTTAGAACTCCTGGAAAACAAAGGAAGATTTAACCTGTGGTCAAAAACTCAGAATCATAGAATGGTTGGGGTTGGAAGGGACCTTGAAGATCACCAAGTTCCACCCCTGCCATGAGCAGGGACACCTTCCACTATCCCAGGTGGCTCCAAGTCCCATCCAGCCTGTCCTTGGCTTGGGATGGGGCAGCCACAGCAAGACCAGTGTGCTAGGAAAAAAGCTGTTCCTTACCACAAAAAAATGTGTTTAGAAATCTCTGCTAGACCTTGAGTACATCAGAACATGTTATTACACCACATTTATCATCAGTGACTTGCATGCTGGTCATGCCTAATTACTTGTCTTGGTTCCTCCCTGCAGTTTAGAGGAAGAATGCATCCATTTTTCCATACCTCAGGCACACTGGAAGCTGCTTTATCAACTTCTGGTCCATAAAAATGGAAATCCATTACCAGTTGAAAATGCTTCCCTGGGTATATTTGCAGAATGGGTTTTGCAATAGTGGCTCTTCATTGTTAACTGGGAATGAAACTCTTGGGGAGAGTCTCCCAGTAAGGGAAGTGGTGAGTGCATTTGCAAAGGATCCTTCTTGAAAAGAGATATTCAAGATAAAACTTTCCTCTCTGAGAGTGTTCATAGGGTAACAGGAGATGGCTCAGTGACTGTTACCCAGGGAAGCTGTGAGAGACATCCACAAAAAAATATCAGTGGTTTTGATAGACTCAGCATATATTTATGTTTCCATTATATTTCCACTATATATGACTATTTTTCTATAATATTTAATATCTTTCACTTAGACTTGCTACTCCAGAGAGTCAAAGTTAGGTTAGAGGTTCTGTTGTAACAGTGAAGTTATTCTGCCCATTCCAAGGCAAAGTTTTAGGGATGAGCTGTGTGTACAGAGAATTCTCCTCTCCATCTATTGGGGTGTGAGGGGTTAATAGCCCTGAACTTCTCCTTTTCCAGACTAACCCTGATTCCACGCACAAATTTCAGCATTTCCACTGCTCTGCATTTCCCTGACAGATTTTTCCAGGCAGGTGTGGCTGTAGGACTGAACCTTGTTGAAGAAAATGTGGATTTCTGTGGAAGGCTGTGGTGTGTACATGAAACTTCAGGGCTGTTAGAGGGAGGGTAGAAGAAGGAAAGACATTAAACCTGCATCAATTATTCCACCTCAAAGGGCAGATCCTCAGAAGTTTCTCCAAACCCATCAGCTCCCTGCCCTGCCCCACTGCAGTGCCCTGTGCATGTTTTGGGGTGTTTCACCAAGCTGCTGGAGGGCAGCTGGTGAGGAAGTTGTTTCTGGTTACAGACTGCAGTCCTTGCTGGTCCTTTGACCTCTTTGCAAGTGGCAAGGACAATAATTCCCATTCCTCTGCTGTTTTGTTTGAAGTGTGTTGGCTGTGTGGCACAGACCCTCTTGAGCCCAGTGCTGTTGGCAGGGCAGTGTGTACACCTGGCTGGACCTGGCAAGGGCCTCACAAATAAACAGGGATTTTGCTGAGCTTCTGAAATGTTAAATGTTCCTAGAATAACAACTGAGCTACATTATTCTTTCTCACCCTCCTCCAAAACCTGTGAAATTATTTGGGAATTTGTATTGTACAAACATTTTGTATCTTATTTTTGCCCAAATGAACTTTCTGCTTTGGAGTTTGTTTTCCTCTGTGGCTAGAATGACGTTCATGGGCACTTCAGGTGGTGTGAGCAGTCACTGCCACCAACAGATGTAACTGCTGTCACTCTCCCCAGCAGAATGTTTGTTCTTCTTTTCTCATGCCAGGGAAATAAGCCTTTGTGCAGCATGTGCTGGGATTACTCAGACACCTGATCCAGCAGAGGAATAAGCTCAGCACAAAAATCTGCTTTTATTGTTTTGCTGGATGAACTCCCAGGTTGAGTTCACCCTGCAATTCCCTGGACTGGGAAGGGAGGGAGGGAAGGGAGCAGGCTCTGCTGGAGCTGAGCTGTGCAATCTGGAGAGTCTGGCATGGCATCTTAGCAAAGTTACTGGATCTGCTTCCAGAATTCCTCCTGTAGTGGGCTGGGTACATCCTGTGGCAAAGCATACAAAACGTTTTTAGGTTCTTAATCTGATAGTTTCTAGAGAGATGCTTTCTCTATCTTTATCCACCTGTGACCAAGTGTTTTGCCAATGCAAGATTGTTTTAGGGACATGGAGCTGCAGAATTCCCTCTCTTCCCTTCCAGTGCCAAGCAAGTATTCAGAAGTTTTTATCTAAGGACCAGGTCAGTGTTTAAGGCATCAATTAGCCAAGTGCACAGCCAAGCCCATGTGTCCCCAAATCTGCTGAGAGGGGAGGTTTTTTAATCCTTTGGGATCTAAACAAGGATCACTGAGGGGTTTTTGAGGAGTCTGACTCAGTTATCAGAAGCAGAGATGCCCATACATCTGCAGCTTGCAATTTTCACATGGGCATGGGAGGCACATGGAATCATGGAATATCCTGGGTGGGAAGGACCCACAGGGATCATTCAGTGTCAGTACAGGACACACCACAATCCCAGCCTGTGCCTGGGAGCACTGTCCAAAGGCTCCTGGAGCTCTGGCAGGGTCAGTGCTCAGACCTGCCTGGTACAGTTTGGTGGCTTTGTAGTCCCTGTAGCTCCACACTTTTGGGACACTGTGCTCCTCTACCTGCACTGGTCTTTTCATGGGTTGTGTTGTACAGATGATGGAATCTTCTGTGCCCTGCTCCACATGTAAAACCAGAGCAGTTGCCAAAAATCTGCCTTCAAGAATAGCTGCAGTCAGACACAGCACTCCCCTCATTTGGAAAAGATGCTTTGATTGCTCCCTCCTGCTAATCTCAACTCCCTTTTTCATCATCTCCTGGTCTCTAAATCATCTCAGCCTTGGTGAATAAACACTAAATCCTACCCCATTTATTATGCAGATGATTCTATCATTGTTGCTTGATCACCCTCAGTTCTGCATAAATTAGTTCTTTTGTGTAGTGTTTAAATATATTGGTTCATTTTATTTCATAGGAAGCAAGGACAGAATCTCTTGGCAGACCTTTGGAGATAAATGAGGCTGAGAAGGTGATGAAAATTGCCATTAACAGCGTTCTGGTAAGCAAAATGTTGTTTAATTGATTGCAAAATTACAATTTTTCTGCTGCAAGAAGAAACTTGCTCTTTTTATCAACAGCCTGGGGTAAAGAGTGCCAAAGCCATCACCTGCAGCTGCAGTTGATGCAGCTAAGAGCTGCTCTTAGCCCCTCTTGTGGGGGAAAACACATTGTAGTCATATTCCCTGCCTTTGTTAGGAGCTTCACCCCAAAAGCTCTACAGGAGGGATAAAATTTGCCCAAATCAGCACAGAAATCTACACCCTCTACCTTGTGTGAGCCCTGTGACCTCTGCAGAGCCAGGGCTGCAAGGAGGGACCTGTGTAACTCCAGAAGTGCTGGTGCCTCTGGAGCTGGGAAGAGCTTCCAGAAGAGCTGGGCTCTGGAAGCAGGACAGCTGAGCTGGCCAAGGGCTGAGTGAGGAGCTGGCACTGTGCTAATGAGGATCCTGCCAGGGCATCCCTGTGGTGCTTGGTGTGAAGGACTTCTTGTCTGTCCTGCACTTGGCAGCACTGTCCTTGCTCCAGGGCATGAGTTCCTGAATTTCTGAGCCTTCAGCTGCACTGTGGGAGGAGAAAGTTAATTAACTCCAGGGCTAGACTCAAGACATTAAATTCCTGTCAGTTATTTCACTGCAAACTGTATCCAGTCCAAGTGTTTGATTACAAGAGTGGAGTTCCAGGTTTAAGCAGTCAGTGGATAACCAAGAGAGATTCCAGGCTATCTTCCCTTATGTTTTGCACCTGCTCACAACCTGTGTGAATACTAAATGTTGTTAATGTACATTTCTTACTCCAGCTTCTTACTCTTCTCCATGAGAGAGGGATTGGCTTCCTGGCAAGCAGCAGTGGCACACACTCAGCTCCTTAATCCTGGCCCAGTTCATGGAATGACCTGTTGGAGCTGGAATTCCAGCAGTGGAATCCTCCCTTTCCCTCTCTCCCTCTCCCTCCAAAGATGCTCCTGGTTTCTTGAGCCTGAGCACACTGGATGCACTCAGCTCATTTGAATCAATTGGAATATTCCCACTTCCCCTCCTGGTTCCTGTAGCAATGTTCAAGATGCTTCCCAGATTTTGAAAAAAATTTGATAAAATTTAGGAAAGGATGAAGGTACAGGAAGTTCTTTATAAAACTGACTTGTATATTGAAGAGAAAAAAAAATTATGGAGGCTTAAAATTCCCTAAAATAGTACCAAGAAACAAATGCTGTTTCTCAAGCAAATGCTCATCTGTTTATTCAGAGAGAATCATGGAATCATTAAGGTTGGAAACTACCTGAATGATTCCATTAAGATAAAATCCAAAAAGACCTTAATGATGCCAAAAGATAGGCTTCTTCCTGCCTTCTACTGCTTCTTCAGTGAGAGAAAAACTAAAGTTACAGCTGTGGGGTTTTTCCTTCTTTAAGAATGTCAGCAAAAAAATCAGGTATTTTACATTTGTAAATGTCCAGTTAGTTCATTATCCTGGCCACAAAGAACTTCTGAATTTTCATTGCCTAGCTGAGTAAACACAGATGAGATTATCCAGAACAATGTTCAGCATCTGAAAGATAAATGTAATTATGCCAGTGCCAGCCATGGTTCACCATCCTTCTCTTCCAGGAAGAAGTCCAAAAGACCAAAGACATGTTGAATAACGTGGCTTTGGATGAAGCCAATTTGGAAGCCAAGATTGAAAAACGAAAATTGGAACTGGAAAGAAGCCAGAAGAGGCTGCAGACTCTGCAGAGTGTTCGGTAAAGATCATGAACTGATTGTCTACTGCAGGAAGGAGTGTGAACAGAGAGGATGGAACTGGTGGAAACAGTCCCTCTGTTCCCAGAGGCTTCTGGTATTCACCACCAATTTGAGCAATTCCTTCTGCAGCCCTTGTTAGGATCAGATCCTCTGGGCATTGGTACAGTCTGACAGAAAATTTGTAGAATCACAGAATCCCCGACTGGGTTGTGTGGGAAAGGGCCGTAAAGCCCATCCAGTGCCACCCCTGCCATGGCAGGGACACCTTCCACCGTCCCAGACTGCTCCAAGCCCCATCCAGCCTGGCCTTGGGCACTGCCAGAGACCCAGGGGCAGCCAAAGCTGCTCTGGGCACCCTGTGCCAGGGCTGCCCACCCTCACAGGGAACAATTCCTTCCCAATATCCACTCTAAACCTCTCCTCCTTCAGTTTGAACCCATTGCTCCTTGTCCTATCACTGCAGTTCCTAATGATGAGTCCCTCTCCCTCCTTGTAAGGTTCACAGTTTGGGTTGATTTCTAGCCTTTAATTAACTTGCAGGTTTATACAATCTGCAATCTGACCTAATACTAAAAAAGAGGAACTGTTAGACAAGGGAGTGGTAGAAGGAATGACCTGGATTCACATCCCTGTTTTATCAGCACCACTCTGCAGGACGTGGATTGGGTGGGTGTGAAGCTCTGAGCAGCAGCAGTGGTTTTTGGGGTGCATCAGTCAGCTCTCAGGTGCAATGACATCATCATTTCATCATACTGTCTAATTAAACCTGTAATGACCCAGGACACTCTGTAGCAAGTAAGTCCCCAGCAAAGTAGATTATTTGCCAGCCATGCTACACACTAAGTTTGTGCAGTTATGGAACAGCAGGATAAATAATCTAACATTGCCTTCTAAGGGGGCCAAAGGCTGTCTTTGTGTGTGAAAGGAAAAGGGAGTTGTACACAAAAACCATCTCTTTGCTTTATGTAATTCCCAGGATTGTTTAGTGAGGGGCTGTGTCTTTGGCTTTTATTCTCTGAAGCAGTGTGAAACCTTAAAATTAAGAGGTTTTTTGGTTTCGTAGATAGGGAAGGGCAGCTGCACAACCAAAATTGCATTTCAGAATTCTGTATATACAGAGCAATATTTATAGATTCCTAGAATCACAGAATTGCTTGGGTTGGAAAACACTTTAAAGCTAATCTCATTCCAAGTCCCTGCCATGGGACATCTTCCACTGTCCCAGGTTGCTGCAAACCACATAAAATCTGGCCTTGAGTTCTTCCAGGGATGGGGCAGCCACAATTTCTCTGGGCAGATTTCACAGAGTTCTCTGTGCTTGCTCTCCCCAGCCCTGCTTTCATGGATGAGTATGAGAAGATTGAGGAGCAGCTGCAGAAGCAGTACAGCACTTACCTTGAAAAGTTCCGAAATCTGACCTACATGGAGCAGCTCCTGGATGATCATCGACGGACAGAGCAGGAGATGTTTGAGGTAGGACACTTTGGAAATGCTCAGCAGGACTGCACAGCCTGCAGATCAACAGAAAATGTTTTAATCCCCTTTTCCAAAGCAGAACCTCAGGAGTTGATTGAGTGAGGGACAATCCAGTGGCTGTGGCTGCTTCTGGCCAAGCACAACAGCACAGCTGCATCTTCTCATTCAATGAAGTTAAACCAGTGCACTGATGGCTCTTGCAAGTCTCTGTCCCCCTGACTCATTTTCAGCTGCTGGGTTTTGTTCCTGAAGAATGTTTTCAAAATTTCTCATCTTCCTTTTGTTATATACAATGGATGTGTTTACTTCTATTGTCTGCTGATGTGTAAGGGTTTCTCAGCACAAGGCTCTTCAGCCTCCTCAAAGTTTCAGTGGAAACAGCCAAGAGCAACAGTGAGGAGATCAGATGTGCTGGGATCTTCCCCCTCATAGACTTCAGTCTTGTTTGGCAGAATTCTGCCTTCTCTTGACTTGCTGAGTTGTGTCAGTTCAGTGTGATTCTCCTTCTGGATAATCTGCATCTGTATCCTGTTTTGTTCCAGACTTTTCTTTGGGGTTTAGTGGACTGCAATGCTTTCAGCTGGCCTTTCCTGCAGTTTCCAACAGCTTCTTGTTTTATTGTCATCCTTTAACAGCCATTACCCAGTCTATCTTCTGTTCTTCATTGAAAACACGTTTGAGTGAACCCTCTCCCCTGGGATCTTAGTGCTGCTGGGAGTGCTGCACCTGGAATTACAGAATCACAGCATGCACGGGGTTGGAAAAGACCTCAGAGACCATCGAGTCCCACCTGGCACCCATCCCCACAGCCCTGAGTGCCACATCCAGGCTTTCCCCAGGGATGGGGACCGTACCACTCCCTGGGCAGCCTCTTCCAGTGTTTAAACAACTCTTTCTATGAAGAAATTCCTCCTGATGTCCAACCTGGACCTCCCCTGGCACAGCTTGAGGCCATTCCCTTTTGTCCTGTCCCTGTTCCTGGGAGCAGAGCCTCTCCCCCACCTGGCTGCCCTCCCTGTCAGGAGTTGTGCAGAGCCAGCAGGTTCCTCCTGAGCCTCCTTCTCTCCAGGCTGAGCCCCTCCAGCTCCCTCAGGAATTCTCCAGACCCTTCTCCTTGTGCTTCAACCCTTTCCCCAGTTCCCTGCCCTGGACCCACTCCAGCCCCTCAATGTCCTTTCTGTTGTGAGGGGCCCACAACTGGACAGAGCACTTGAGCTGTGGCCTCATAGTGCAGCCAATTAACCCATTGTTAATTAATGCTTCCTCATTCCACCACCACCACCACCTTTTGAACACAGAGAAAACCATGCTGTTGAGAAGTCTCAAATATTTTGCTGCATTATTTGCTTGAGGGATAAAATATCTTTTCAAAGCTGATGTGGGCACTTGGCAACTTGTTAATCCCTGTCAACCAGTTTCCCATCGAGCCTCTCTTTTCATAAGCACTGTCTCTGTACAAGTTTTTTCACCTCATATCTGAAGTCACTACTAGCTCTCTGTTCCATCCTTGCCCCCCACTCAAAAAAGACTTAAATTAAATCATAGTCTTGTAGTCTAAAATCTGATTTATCCCTTCTGTTCAAATGCCACTGAGACTTCATAGCCAGAGGAGGAATGCTTTGAACTGAGCTACCTGAAAGTGTTTATGAATTCAAGTGCAGAACTTTGTTAATGAGTTGGTGCTCAGCTCTTTGGGGATTTTTTTTCTTAAAGATAATAAGACAGAAAAAAGTCCTTTGTCATTCACAGATGTGCTGTGACTAGAATATGGAGAGTACACTTTATTTTCCTTGTTTCTCATTTCTCTGAGACTCCTGGGACCCTACCCATATGGTTTGACTTGTGGTTGCCTAGGATAAGCAGGGAACAATGCTTCAGCCTAGTGCAGAATTAAAAAGTATAAAAGCTGGTGACAAAAAGATGTTGTTTTGCTTTGCACATTTCTATCAGTTGTACCTAAAAATACTTGGAACATATAAAGGATGAGACTCTGACCATCTCTTTGTGGGCAGGAGTACAGTGACTCAGGCAGCCACGAGTGCTTTGCTGTGGAAGCTGTTGCTTAGGTAGGAGAAGAGGTGGGTGTGTGTGTGTCTCTTAAAGCCAAATATTCAGAAGTGCTGGAGTCCAAACTGGGATTTGAAGTTATTATGAGATGTCAGTTCTCAAATTCAATCAGTAGGACTTGGGGACCGAAAGAGGGTGAAGAATTTCCTCTGGAGAAGAGAAGGCTCTGGGGAAACTTCAGAGCAGCCTCCAGTGCCTAAAGGGGCTCCAGGAGAGCTGGAGAGGGACTGGGGACAAGGGATGGAGGGACAGCACACAGGGAATGGCTCCCCCTGCCAGAGGGCAGGGATGGATGGGATATTGGGAAGGAATTGTTCTCTGTGAGGGTGGGGAGGCCCTGGCACAGGTGCCCAGAGCAGCTGTGGCTGCCCCTGGATCCCTGGCAGTGCCCAAGGCCAGGCTGGACGGGGCTTGGAGCAGCCTGGGACAGTGGGAGGTGTCCCTGCCCATGGCAGGGAATGGAATGGGATGAGCTTTAAGTTCCCTTCCAACCCAAATCATTCTATGATTCTAATCTGGGTCCCAACTAAACAAAGAGACTTGTTAGTGCACTTCCAAACCAGTGAGGAGATGCACTGTTTAATCCATTTTGGGTTAATCTCTGGCCACCCTGGAACACAAGTGTCTCTCACTTCTGTCAGTTTTGATCTGCTTTTCAGGTGGTACTTCCACACTTTGGCTACTTTATGGTGAAGCAGAACTGTGGGTTATTACATGCTTTTAAAAAAAGAGAACATTTTGCTCCAAAGCAATACTTTGCTTGTTGTTCTACAGTTTATAATCTTGTGTCATTTTCAGCATCAACAGAGGAAAAAATAACAAGGATAATTACATTTAATCTATTTTAAAACACACTCACTCCAGCTGTCAGAAACACTGAAAATTATGTTGATTTTTTTCCCCAACCCTGATTTGTCTTTTGTTCCACCAAACAAATCTTAATTAACTTCTGCAGTAGCAGCATGAGGCAATTCTTTTATCATTGTTGTGTATTTCCTAAAGAGCATGCCAGCAAAAAGCATCAGCAGAGTAATTAGATTAATCCAGCACTCCCTGTGCTGTTCTGAGCTCTGGTTCCTGGGCCCCTCTCATGGATTTCATCCACATTTTTAGGAGTTTCTGTTCTGATTGAGAGCCTGATGCTGCTGCTGAATAATGAGCCTGATCTGTGCTGCAGTTGGACTCAGAGTAGTTGGGTATCCACAGCCACCAGCCTGGGCCAGAGTGCAGCTCCTAATTAGCAGTGATTTAAAGATTTTAATTTAGTGCCACTAAGCAGCTGAGGCATTCCAGCCCCTCCAGAGCTGGTGGTTGTGTACATTTTTAAAGTGTTTTTTCCATGCTGTGATTGTCCAGCCCCGTGTGGCTCCTGGTGTTGTCCTGAGCTTCCTGAGGCTTTGCCTGCCTGTGTCACTCACAGGGAGCAGTGGTTGGAGTGTGATCAGTGGGAGGCTCCTGCCAGGCACTGGGCTGAGAAATCTGTGTTAAAAGAACCGACAGGCTCATGTTGAGGCTGAGCCCAGCAGTTTATTTGTGATAAAGTAATTTCTGCTGAGCACCTGCCTGTCTCATGTGGGAGCGTGCTGAAATATATGAAAAATGCACAATTATTTGGCCATTATCACCTGGAGAAAGCAGAAGTCCACACATAACTTGTCTTTCCAGTGAGTATCTCACACTTATTGACAGCTGTCATGCACAACTTACTCATGGATCCAAGGAATTTTAACCAAGGGCCTTTTGTCTTTGCAGTTTCCTTTGCCTCCGTTACCTCTTTTATTTTCCTTCTGTTTCTTGGTGCTGTTCATGGAATTAATCCATCTTCCTGCAGTTCTGTGCCAAGGTAGGGATTTGTGAGCTGTGTCTCCTCAAAGATTGGGTCTTACTTTTCTCTTTTGTAAAAAGATTCAGCACAATTAATTCATTTTTACCCTGTTTATAAGATGAAATAGTTTTGGTGTTTAGACACAGAAGCTATTAGAACTTTGGCTGTTCTAAAAACCCCAATTTTCAGGGTTTTTTCAGATTTGGGGGCTGAAATTCTCTCTGGATTATAAATGAATGCCTCTCTTTTAAAGGACAGCACAGGCTAATACAGTTCAAAAAGGTGGTTTTGGAATTAGTTTACGTAATGCCAGAATAACTTGGCAATTTCCTTCAGCATTTGCCTTTTCCCTGGGGAGAATGTACTTATTCTTTCTTGTGCTTCTCAGAGGACACCCCAGAAGTATTTTCCTCTTCAGCTGCTTTCTCCTAAGGTATTTTCAGACTGTTTTTGTGCTGTTGGTGTGTAATCTCAGCCGAGGAGTGCCATGAAGTGGTGGACACGGGGATGAGGATGTTCTTTGCCAATCAGTCTTTTCTCTTTGATTTGGGATTGCTTAAACTGCTTTTCTTTTCATCATTATGGAGTGTCCAAGGGCGTGTAGAGATAGAACAAGGGGGAATGGCTTTAAAGTGAAGGAGGAGAGGTTTAGATGGGATATTGGGAAGGAATTGTTCCCTGTGAGGGTGGGCAGGCTCTGGCACAGGGTGCCCAGAGCAGCTGTGGCTGCCCCTGGATCCCTGCAAATGTCCAAGGCCAGACTGGACAGGGTTTGGAGCAGCCTGGGATGGTGGAAGGAGTCCCTGGACATAGCAGGGGATGGGCTATAAGATCCCTTCCAAGCCAAACCATTCCATGATTAAGTCTCCGGATTATCAGTAAACAGTCCTTCATGATTAATCATGCAATTCCAAATAAACAGACTGTGTTATGACCTACCCTTTGCAACCTTCCCTCCCCAAAAATGCCCTTTTCATTAAACTCTTTTTAGCAGAGCTTCTGAATAAGCCCATAATAATAAATAGGAAATCAGAGTTCTGCTCCACTCTGAGGTGCCCCTTGGTTCTGTGCTTTTTGCACTGAACTGTCCCTCTTAAGTACTAAA